CATTATGTGATCCCTGATGCTAGAAGCTTTGCATGATGACTAGGATATACGTTAATGTGATTTCCTTTTTCATCTATTATTAGGTGAAAATATTAAAAATTAAAATAACTTCCATGCTAATCTGATTCCTGGAGTTGAGATAATAAAACAGTCATTTAGTATTCTAATCAAATTTTTCCCAAGAAGTAAACAACACAGAAATAGAGAAGAAAAGGGAAATTTTAGGGAACAAACTGATGAATCAGAAGAAATTGAAAGTGAGATTTAAAGGAAGATAGCACTTCGGAAAAAAGTAAGAAGATTGAAAAAATGTTGGAAAATTCCAAAATGAATAAACTTAATTAAATATAAATATTCCAGGCAAAATGAAATAACTCAGATCTTATGAACAGAATCCAGCCAATTTCTAGTGTCTAGAAATTGTTAGTGAAGTCCAGTTATATTACTAACCTTGAAACACATGTGTACAAGGACAGTAACATCCATATGTAGAAATCAGGAAGCTGTTTTCAAAAGGGCCAGAAGATGTGAAAGTAGTAATGAATGAAATGCCCACATTACAATTGCTTGTTTGATGAATATTTGCCCTTGAACAGCCTGCTAGTACCTTAAAATCAATATGTACAACGTGGAACCCAGTATTTAATTCCCCTTACCAGCTTCTCAGCTTCTCCGATCCGTGCAGTAATTTTATACTTTGAAGAGACTTGAAGCCAGCACTGTAATTTCCCATTTATTTTTCCCTGCTGGGCACATTCATCAGTTTCCAAGTTTCTTTTCTCTATTTCCTCGCATCAGTACCTTTATTTTTCGAAGAGACTTGAAGCCAGCACTGTAATTTCCCATTTATTTTTCCCTGCTCGGCACATTCATCAGTTTCCAAGTTTCTTTTCTCTATTTCCTCGCATCAGTACCTTTATTTTTATGTATATGTCATTCTTTCTCTCAGAGTCCATCAAAAGGTTCCTAGTTGTTTTCCTTGCTTCTAATTTCTTCATCACTCTCAGCCTCTTTTGTACAATGCCAGGTTTGTTAAAGACTGCCATCATTACACTAGTGATACCTGTTCAATATTCAGAAATTGGAGATAAGTCAAAAAAGGAGAAAATTGCCCATATTCTCCCCACTTAGAGTTAACTATGCTTAATTTTTTGGTGTAGAGCCTACTTTTCTATGCATGTAAAAATCTAAAATCATACTATTTATACCACATTAATTTTCCTAAAGTGGTGTTTTTATTATTCATTGCCCATACGGGCTGATAGGTAATACATAAAAATGTGGCATTCTGCAACATAGAGCCCATTCTACCTTACTTCAGTTACCCGTGCAAACCATTGATTAAATGACATTAATATCCAAGCTGTTTCTTGAAAACAACTTGGAGTTGTTTTTCCACTATTGTGCCTTTGTTCAGTCAGTCCAAATGGCAGGCATCACTAGCTAGGCCTTTAGCCTAGTTTTCAAGGCAAACTCAGACATGGTCTTTTCCATGGCACCTTCTCTGACCTTGCTGTCAGAAGTGGTATCTGTCTTTACTTTGAATTTTGCTCACCCTGTATTTGGACCTCTCATGCTGCCTCATTCTATAGATATTTGAATAACTATTTTTTCCCCCAGTCTGTGTATGGGATTCTCACATAACGGCTTGTGTGGAAGTTCTTAATGTACATTGAAAGAAAGCAGTAACAAAAAATGAATGTTCTATCTCAGTGAAGAGATTGTACATGGACTATGAAGTAGACAAGGTACTTACAGCATCAGATTTCATATAGGAACTTTGGACAAGTGTTGGTTATCATTCAATTTACAGTGAATTTCTCTTCTCTGTTGCTGATAAAAACAGTGCTACAGTTTGTGGTTCCAGATTTAGGGGATGTAGAAACAAATTTACATGTGTTAATCTTAAAACGCTCATAAAAGATGCTCTATGAGTTTGAGATTAAAGGTTGTCAATACCTTCAAACGTTTTTATCCATGAAATTTCCTAACATACCTAAGAGATTTCAAATACATTACTACCATCAGCAATTTAGATAAGGGTACTTCAAAAAGTTTGTGGAAAAATTGAACTAAAAAATAGTACAAATCTTTCCACGAACTTTTTAAAGTACCCTCGTATATATAAGCCTTCCCAGTTGCCCAAATCAATTAGTAGTTTGTTTTTCCTTTATTATTATATATGCTTCATATATATGTTTAAGACACCTGAATGCCTTTGGCCAGTTTTGTCCTTCAACCCACAACTGTTGTGCTGCCTTGTGGGCTTCACAGACAATGGAAAAAATATGCATTTTCTTTGATACTTTTAAACTCCGTCCGTCTGTCTGTCTGTCTGTCTGTCTTTGGTTCTCGCTGTTGCTTTTGCTCTCACTTTTGCTCTCTCCCCTCTCCTGTGTTCTTTCTGTCTTAACATCGTAGTTTATCCAAAGAATAGGAGTCTCATCTCTTCTCCATTAACTTCTAACGCTTTTTAAGTGTCAGTGAACATGTAATATTTGGGGAGGACACACCTTTCCATTTGACTGAAAACCCACTAGTTATATACAACCTACAACCTGAAGACCACTCTTTTAGGTAAATGATAATGGACATGTAAACAAAGGTAATGGAATTGGGTAGAGAGAAGACTTAAGAAAATGGAAGCCAGATAACTCGGTGAATAATTGAATTTAGGCACAGAGAGGAGTCAACAGTGAAGCTTTTGTGCTGTTGGATAATGGTACATCAAAGTGAAGTATGGATAGTCTAGAAAGGAGCAGTCCTAGGGTCAAAAAGTTATGTTGTGTTTTGAATATACTACATTTGTGATGTCTCTGTGAAAGTTATAGTTAAGGAAGGATGTAAGGACTGGAGGTATAGTTTTAGGAACCAGCATGTGGGTGAAAGCTAAAACTTGGTAAAGGCTAAAATAATTGAGTTTTGCATATCATGAGAAGAGAAAACTGAGGCACGAATCATTGAAATGGGATGCCAGGGAAGAGGACAGAATGAAAGACACTGAGACTTAATCATCAAAGGGCTAACCAGGGAATGAAGAAATAATACAGCTTCAAGAAAAAGAACAGTGAACTGTATCACATACTGCAGACATAGGAGATAAAGTCTCCTGAATTTATCAACGAGGAGGCATGGACAACCTTTATCAGTACTTTTCAGTAGAGTAGTAGGGTCAGAAGAAAAATCGCAGTGAGTTGAGGCAAAAATGGGAAGTTACAATGTGGTGTAGACAAATCCTATTCAAAGGCCAACTTTAAAGTGAAGAGGATAGAGATGGCAGTATGTAGACTTGTTATCAATTAAGCCAAACATATCTTATTCAACATTGTCTTCAAACTACATAGGAGGTAGTAGGTGTGTTGAGTATACCAAAAATGTAATAGAGATAGAACAGACATAAATTGGGAAAGGCAAGGTTACATGTGGACTGGTTTCTGAAATTGGAAAGTCATAAAGTACTAGAACAGTTCTAAGCCCTGCCACTCCCCCACTTCACTCCTAGCATGTGCTTTTCTATGTGTCTGCTCCGTTCTCTTTTTGTCAGTCTCTTATTTTTTATAATGTCAATCCTAGAAGGAGCAGGTCTGACTGTCCTTGTGAAAAACTATTATCTCCCTGGGGTTGCATCTTCAAGCCAGGTTCCCTTCCCACCTTCAACTTAGAAAGGCAGATGGCTCAGCTTTTGTGGCAGGACTTATATAAAAACCAGGCTAAGATATTTTACTTGCCCAGTAAGATATACCTTTACACAATTTGCCACAAGCACCTGGTTGGATTTGAACAATTCTTAACATGTTTGACTTAGCATGTTTTCTAGTTCTTAGAGCACTTACTGTTTGATCTCTTGAGAAAATATTTGTAATTGGCCTGTGTACCACGCTTCCCATTCTTTTTCTTAAAGTACTGTTTCACCATGGGGTTCCACTTACCTATATACATGTGCATTGAGGTTAGCCAAGTATAACTAATAGAGCAACCTTGTAAGATAAGAATTGGCCAAGTTGACAGGCAACTTTGGATCATTTAGTTAGGAGTTTAGACTTGGTACAAAGGCAATTATCACTTGGTGTTTAAGCAATGGATTATGTAAGGAGCTAAGTTCTTATTGCTATATGTCATCTGTTTCATTTTCCTATATTGTGCTATTTCAGGAAAAGACAGTGGCTTGCATTAATCTTTGAGACACAGTGCTTACACCCTGGTTATCTGTTTTGAAGTAATTACCACTTCTCTAAAGCCTCTGTCTTGAAGCCATTTTTTATGAAGTAAAATTAATTCATCGCATATTCCACTCTGAATATTATCATGAAAGTTTGAAAATTCATTCTTGGGAAATTCTTATTGCTCAAGTAAGTTTATTTGAGGAAATGATTATCATCTAAAATATAATTATTTCTTTATAACGAACTTAGTAATTGCTGTCCTTTAACATTATATTTTCACTTCTACTGCTAAGCTAAACTTAGCAGGCTTGCATTGTTATGTGAAGTACCAGCACAAATAAGACTATGTTACAGTCAGACTTAATGGGGCAACCAGTGATAAGAAAAAAGTGCAGCACTGATTATAGCCGAATAATAATTAGAAGGCAGCCATGGCAAAGAAGCAGTGGTAGAAAGTGAAGTGAGTGTCAGCAATCAGAAAATAGATAAACGATTGAAGTCGCAGCAGAGTTAAGAAGTCCAGAACCTAAGGATCATAAGGTTGAAGCTGGTATATTCTTTTGCAGTAGGCTTCATAGCAACTGTTGTGGAAATGCTTGCAATGCTGGGGTGCTTCCCACATCTCCGGCAATACTTCAGTGGGGATAATCAAAATAAAATTAAAGTGGAAGGAAGGGGCAAATTAAGCCATGAAGTAGAATAATGGGCCATTCTCTGTATAGTAATGAGAACACATTATTAAATACAACTGAAAAATAACTATCCTTAGTTTTTGATTCCCATGGGTTATATTTTAGGTATCAAATAGCATTTCTAAGGCATTTTAAACATTGTCATCTTTTTGAGTGTTTTTTAATGTTTCTGTGTTTTGTATTTTAGCTATGAAGATGGCCAAGTTGGAGATGCAAATATTAACAATTTCTAAGGCATTTTAAACATTGTCATCTTTTTGAGTGTTTTTCAATGTTTCTGTGTTTTGTATTTTAGCTATGAAGATGGCCAAGTTGGAGATGCAAATATTAACACACAAGAAGGAGGCATTCACAAAGAGATCCTCCGAGTAATTGGTAATCAAACTGCTACTGGTTAAAGGACCACCATTTGATTAACACAATTTGAAGCCTTCCTCGGGTTCAAAGCTGGATTTTGAACTGAAGAAGATGATAAAATAATTTATTGTTATTATAAACAAAATTAACCCTTTGAATACTGATTTTTTTTTCCTAGTATTTCTAAGTATCTTATTAAAATACCTAAAATGGTATAAAATTTATCAATTGTAGGGTTATGGAATCTAGTAATAAAATTACAACAGCACTTAAACTGAAGTTTGGGTTGCTCACACAATAAACAAATTGAAAAAACAGTTTTGTGCTGATATTTTTATACTAAACTCTTTGATTGGACATTTGGTATTATATACCGACATTTTAGGTTTCCAAAATAGAATTGAGAACATTTTATAATGGCATCTAAATCTGTCAGATATTTTGCAATAAGTATAATGCTTGCACATTCTGATGTGCTATATAATTAGTGGTATGAACATTTGAATGTTTTAGGAAGGATGTTGTTCCCTATTCTTCTATTTTTTCCTTCTACAAAAACAATTAGGTCTTAGCGGTTCTTTGCCCAGAAGTATGTAATACACGTATTACAGATTTATGGATCAAATTTGTGGTTGTGTATATATGTGTGTATATTCACACATATGTATTTTGATAGAGACGGTGTGGGCCCCAATTCTATCATTCAGTGATAGAAAGATAATATTCAGTAAGCAGTAAATCTGGACATAAACCAAGATATGAGCCAAATTTACCACCACTCATTCACTGAAAATATCTGTAGACAAACCTTCTGTTTGTTTAAAGAAATGTCCTGTTGGTTAAAATTCATCTCTTTTGAAATGTTGCCTAAAAGTCATAATTTGGGGAACATAGATGCCCCTTGGTACACTGAATCAACATTCAATTGAACGTATGTTTAAAGAAAGGCCTCAGAACTTAAAGAAGCAGTATATTTTTTTTATTTTCTACAGTGGAACATTTAAAAAATTTATTTATACCACACCAGCATTTTTATATTTGTTCATCTAATACCTCTGTTTATTTTTTCATATTGAGAAAGAAGACAAACTCTGAAGCTTCTTTTATATTAAAAGACCACAAACACATTTATAGAGAACGATATACACCAGCTCTCATCATTTCCCTTTTAAGAGTTATGTGCTCATCAAAATCATTTCTATTTTTTCGAGTCCTAGAGTTCTTATTTCAAGTTTTAATTGATAGTGTTTATTTTCCTATGTGATGTCTTTGGAATAAGGCCATTCATAAAAACAGTTTAATTAATGAGTCTGCCATTCTATTCAAACCCTGAATCAAGGCTCATATCTGATTTAAATATCTGTCGAAATAAAAAATAAAAATGTACAGTCATTTGCAAGCCTAATGCGATAACTTCTGTGTTTATTTCCTTTGTCTGGCATAAAAGGTGAGAAAAGGGTCATACACATATTTAAGAGTTGCAGTTTAAAAAGTATTTACTAATTGTTTCTCTTATATTGTAAATAATTGATACACCACTTATTTCTGGAAAAATAGGTTTGAAGTGGTTGGTATATTAATCATTTAAATGTATCTACTTAAAACATTGATCTGTTTTGACTCGTGCCTCTGAACTCAGGGCCACACTGAGGGATAATATTAGCATGGTAGGTCCAAGATATAATGTCCTATTTAGTGTTCTGTGACCACTTATTTGAAGACTTTGTGTGGGACAAAAGGACTACTTGCTTCTTTCTGCCAAGACTCCCCAAGTCTCCCAAATCACTTTCACTATGTTTTAAAAGCATTTTTAAGCACCAAAATTATTATTTTAAGTTAATTTTGTGGGATATTCTATACACAACATAAATATAAAGATGAAATACCAGGATTTGGGAATGAGTCTGATGGCCTCACATGTTTGTCCACTAGGACCACTGAGGCACCTGGAAAAACTCTGTAGAGTGCCTTCAAACATAATTTAAAAGCCACTGACCTAATCCATTATGGCTTTGATTAACAGTTGAGTGATCTGTAAGAAATATAGTATTAGAATCTGAACTGAAGGAGTAATTTATAGGACTCTAGGGAGGCTGATTAGGGGAGGGTAAACTGGCATAATAAAAACTTTTACTGCCGACTTAAGAATAAAAGTAGATTCACTATCTGTGGAAGGAAAGTAGTTGATAGTTGAATCAACTACTAAATATAACAGAGCAATAGGCATCTTTTATGATAACAAAATAAGATGTCCTCTAATGATAATTAATCAAGTTGTATTACAGTGCAGAATGACAGATTTTGTTTTGAAAAATTATCAGAACCTTTGTAAGCAAATATTTTAAGGAGAGCCAGTCTTTTAATTGAACTTTGAAGTATACTGATGAAGATGCTTATCTTTATGTCTAAAGATCTACTCTCAATTAATACCATTAATAAATAAATATCATGCTTTCAAAATCCAAGTGGGTCCTTAAAATTCAGAGATTTAAGCACTGTCATCATGCCTTGATTCAGTCACCCATTACAATATTATCTGTTGACTTATTTGATGATTCCAAACATTTGATGTTGTATTGTATATTTATAATCATTTGAAATCTGTTCACTGATGTTTTGTAATAGTTATATTGTGTAGCCATTGCTACTAGATATTAACCCACTGAGCTAAGGCAATCATTTATTTTCACTCTTGAAGGGAAGAAGATACTTATATGAGTTCTGCTTTTTTCTGCATCATTGCATTTGTAAATGTTTCACTACAAATAATGTCTTCTTTTACTGTGTAAAAAAAAGGAAGAAAATGATAGAACATTTAAAAAGGGAAAGAAGTAATATACAAATAATCTAGTGTTATAGAATGCATAATAGTATGGTGTTTTTGGTGCCTTAGAGTGCACCATGTTGGAATGAATTCTAGATTTGTTGCTCAGTAAATCTCATACAAATGTTGGATTTGAAAGTGGTTTTTCACTTTAAAATTTAAAATTTAAGAGTGCCACATCCTTAAAATTACTGTCAAATACTATGTAGTATAAGAAACCAACCCAAACTATTTTTCTGAATGTTTCTCATTGAAAATCTTAGAGCTTAGAGAAGAAATTCCTCAATTTTTCTCCCCTTTACTAAAAGAAAGAAAACCTTCTTTAAAATTTAAAATTTAAGAGTGCCACACCCTTAAAATTACTGTCAAATACTATGTAGTATAAGAAACCAACCCAAACTATTTTTCTGAATGTTTCTCATTGAAAAACTTAGAGCTTAGAGAAGAAATTCCTCAATTTTTCTCCCCTTTACTAAAAGAAAGAAAACCTTTAATAAGCAAGTCTATAAATCTTTAAATTAATATCACTGAAAGAATTTTAGCAGTACTTTGTATAATAAAAATATTTTGAAAACCATTAACTTGACTGAAGGCATGGGGTTTCAGAAAGTGTTAAGGAGAAACTCAGTCATCCTTGATAAAGAGTCTGGATGACTTCATCAGATAGTAATTTAATATGTCATGAAGGGCCACTCAACCGTGGACTATGTACCATCTAAATAAATATGGATTTTTTTATGGTGGCATTTGAAGCACATTTTAAAAACATGATGTTATATTTTAAAAACATGATGTTCTATTTTAAAAACATGATGTCCCACTAAATTCTTCATTGTAACACTACCTCAAGACAAGTGATAGACTGTTTGTTAAGGTACATTGGGTTTCCAGTGTAAGGAACAAATTTTACAAATAGAAGTCATCTAATAATTCAACAGTTAAGACCGTGCTGGACATAGATATTGGGTTGCTTCCAGACAATGTAGTTACATGGATATTTTAGTCAATGGGGATGAATGACATAGTTAACACCCAATGAGTTCTTTGAAAGGGTTTCAAGTTGCCAAATTTGAAATTAGTTCCTCTTGAGACTGGTTTTCTTCATGGGACAAGCCACATATAATTGCCCATCCAAAAGAGTTAAAGGATTAAAAACACTCAACTGCTGTGCCAGAATGGCAGACTGAATTTTCAAGTATTTTGGCACTTAATGCCTTCTAAATTTTTGTCAGATTATATATAGATTTGATGTATATTATTTCCCAGTAAATTTTTCTTGGGGATTTTGTACACACTGTGAAATATTAGGGTAAGTTTTTGTAGGTCAAAGAATTTCAAGTAGTTTTTAGACAAAACATATTCATGAGTGTGAAAAAGCTGTGTTGAA